CAGTAGAAACAGGAACATTGATACTGGCTGGTGCTGCTGGTACCAGTCGGTTCCGTGGACCCGGATCTTTGGACCGCCATCTGTATGCCCTGTTGTGATCCCCATGGTGATTGTGTCTAGGAGACGGTTGTCGGACAGCGAGGTGGACTCCGGGTTCAGGAACCTTTTCACTAAACTCGCCGGAACCGTAAGTGTCGCCGTGGCTGGCCCCGCCCAGTGGCTGGCCCCGCCCAGCGGCTGGCCCCGCCCAGCGGCTGCGTCCTCCCTGCTGATTGGCTGCTTCTGTTTCAGGACATGGAAATCTCCGCCTACGAGCTCCAGACCATCATGAACAAGATCGTAGCCAAACGTGAGCCGATGCTTCGTCACGTTCAACACGCAGCGCCGCAGCGGCTGAAGCGGCGGCTGCGGCGCTGCAGCTGCTGCAGCTGCTGCAGCTGCTGCAGCCATGACTTCCTGTTTGTTGTTGTTTTAACAGGAACTGACATCAAAACAGACGGATTCAGCCTGGAGACCTGCAAGGTCATGGTCAACTTGATGGACGTATCCTTCACCGCCTGGGGGCGGAGCATCAGAGCAGAGCATGTGGGTGGGGCTTAAGAGGGGCGGGGCCTGGGAGGTTCTGGAGCAGCATGCCGGTTCTGGTTCTGGATCTCTGGACCCTCAGCAGGTCTCAGAGGGTTCATGAGGACCCAATCAGTTTAAATGTGTTTAGATGATCTGTGATTGGTCAGCTGATCCGCCAATCAGCTGATCCGCCAATCAGCTGATTTGCCAGCTGATTGGTTGGTGGTCCCACCTGTCCAACACCTGTGAGTGACCTTTAACCTGCAGCAGGACAGCGGGAACGGCAAGCTGGGCCTCGGAGAATTTGCAACACTGTGGAAGAAGGTGCAGAACTACCTGGTGAGTTGTGACCTTTGACCTGTGACACCCGCTGTTTTCTTGATGCTGGATTGTGGGACATCTCAGCGTTTGTTGTTCCTGCAGTCGATCTACAAGAAGAACGACTCGGATGGCTCTGGAACCATGAGCACTCCGGAGATGAGGGTGGCCTTTAAGGATGCAGGTGGGTCGCTGTGGTCAGAGGGGAAACTTCCTGCCTGCTGCCTGTTTGCTTCCTGTTTACTTCCTGTCTGCTACCTGCCTGCTTCCTGTTTACTTCCTGTCTGCTTCCTGCCTGCTGCAGTGGCTCTGCCAGCTTTAGTTGTGTCAGTTTGATGCTTGGTGCCACTGGCAGATGGATCAGCTTTGGTTTTCTGCCTCCGACCCGCTTGCTGCTGCAATGCATGATGGGACAGCGCCATGAGGATGCTGACTTGCTTTGTCTGGCTGTGACCAGCTTCCTCCTCTTCTGTCCCATAATGCAACGCTGTTGGCAGTTCGGGCCGGGTCGACCCGATGACGGTTTGGAGCGAAACGGGTTGCTCTGAACACGCAGCAGGAAACCGTCACCATAATCTGAGAACATGTGGGATTGTCAGATTGAGTCCGAAACCGAACCAGAATGGCCCGGAGTGAAGCGGCCAGTCGAACTGTCGGCAAAGTTTAATCTGCTAATCTACCAAGCTACTGCTGGACCCAACAGAACCAGCAGAACCTGCAGCTGGGTTCTGGTAGGAACCTCTGGACCAGTCAGATTAAGTGGGATTCTAATCTGGATGTTGAATCCGAAATGGAAACAGGAGAAATGAGATTTCTGATTTTCTGACTCTTATTCCTGATGTTTCCTGAAAAACCATCGAAATCAGAGCAGACTCCAGTCCTGGAGGCTTTAGATGGATCTGCTGCAACACCTGAGTGACATCATAAGGTCAAGAGGTCATCAGCAGGACTCTGCAGACCTGCTCTGAGACGTGTTGGACCAGAGAGACATGGAAAAGCTGCAGGAGGCCCGGAGTGCCCCCACTCCCAAAACCCCTGTGCCCTCCACCTGTCCACCTTAATGCAGGTGGACAGGTGTCCCAGTGTCCTCCATGTCTCCATGTCTGTCCTTGTGTCTGATGTCCAGCTGCTTCCACCAACATCTGCAGTTCGTCCCTCTGATGGAAGCGCTTCCAGGATGGAGGCAAACAGCCAATCAGCTGTTAGTGGGCGGAGTCATAGTTCCTCTGGAAAAACCCCGGCTGGGTGGGCGCGGGCCTCCCCTGTGACATTGGGCCAGGCGCGCGCCCCCGCTGTGGTCGGGATGAGTCACACGTCCAAGAATCTGGGCCGAGATGTTTGTGTGTGTGTGTGTGTGTGTGTGTGTGTGTGTGTGTGTGTGTGTGAGAGAACTTCCTGTTTATCTAACTTCTTCTTCTGCTGTGTTGTATCTAACATGTGTTTCTGTGTTCTGCTCTCAGCCTGCTGACGGCGACGGTACGTCTGGTTCTGGTTCTGGTTCAAACTGTCCTTCATCTGTGTCTTTCAACATGAAGCTGGGTTCTGTTCAGGTTCTGATCAGATTCAGGCTGGTTCTGTTTGTTCAGCTCTTTTTCACAGATGTTTTCAGAAAGGATTCAGAACCTCTCCATCTTTGTTCAGATCATTTGAAATGGGTTCTGTCTGTGTAACTTCATTTATCTTTATTTTCTGTTTGAACTGTATGAACTAAATTCTGCAGAACCAACCCGGTTCTGGAACTCAAGAAGTTCTGATCTGGGATTACTGCGGCGGCCATGATGGATTAATGTTAGCAGGAAAGGAGCCGTTGAATCAGGACCTCAGTGGTTGCCATGGTGATTCCCTCCTTTTCTCAGGAGGAGGCGTGGCCTATTGTATCACTGGTTTCATTGGCTGGGCCCACAGAACCGTCTCTGCGGTCGGGCCAGGTCCAACAGGAAGCTGTCCTTAACGCGTCCTGTTGTGCTACATTTGAAGCTAGCCCAGTTAGCTTCACCAGACGTTCCAGTTTAAACTTTATCTGTAACTCCATCATCTAATTTTAAAACTCAAATATTTTCTCCTGGTGATTACTCTTATGTCAGCGTCCTGTTAGCATGCTGCTAGCTAACTGCTTCCTGTCCTTTGAAGGTTTCTCCCTCAACAACACCATCTACCAGCAGCTGGTGGCCCGGTACTCGGACCCGGACATGACCATCGACTTTGCAACTTTGTGGCGTGTCTGACGAGGATGGAGATGATGTTCAGTGAGTCTGATGATCAACGGCGCCAACAAGAACGCCCGAAAACCTGAACACACATCACCGCTGTTCTACATCCATAGCGGATATAAAAATCCATCTGATTTAACCTCCGTCTTTTCCTCAGGGATCTTCAGGAAGCTGGACGCCCACCAGAGCGGCTCCATCGAGCTGGACCTGAACCAGGTGAGGCAGGAGGCTGAACCAGTCTTAGCAGATTAATATCAGTTTATGATCAGAGTTCAGGAAGTGATGCTGTGTTTGTCTTGCAGTGGTTGAACTTCTCCATGATCTGAACCAGAACCGTTCTGCTTGACGCCATCAAGGCGTTTCCAGCTGCAGCTTCTCTCTCCTCGTATTATAACCTCTCCTCCACCAGCTGACCCTTCTGCGCTGTGCTGATGCTCTGCAGGTCCATTTGGACCGGCGCCACACAGAACCTGTTAGTCAGGCTTTTATCTGCCTGCTGCTCTTTACCAGATCATTAAAGTGTTTTCCATGGCGGACGCAGACAGTGTGTTTTGAAGTTTCATTTAAAGACATGAAGAACCCGGAATCAGAAATGGAAAATAATACAACATAATATAATATATAATATAATATAACATAATATATATAACATAATATAATATAATACAACATAACATAATATAATATAATAATTAGATATAATAGAGTAAATGTAATAGAATATAATCCTTTTCCCATGAAGCTTACAGGAAAAACAACTGTAGGAAATAAAGGAGTCATTTCTAAATCATCAGTTTTCTGCAGCTTCACTTTGGACAGATTTTACTGGCCAACAGGAAGTTCTGAACTTTCACAATAAAACTTTAAGCTACCAGAAACACAAAAGTAAAGCTCAACGTTCATACATTAAATATAATTAAAAATATAAATACACCTTATTACTCCTTAGGCACAAGCACGGTTCTGACCCGGTTAGAACCTGGAAACTAACCAGAACTGGTTCTGATCCAGTTAGATCCTCCTCCAGAACCTGAATGGACGGTTCTGTTTGTGTTTCCAGAATGTTCTGTTCATCTCAGCCGGTTCTGATCTGATGCTTGTGGACCAGAATCCGCCTTCTGAGTCAGAACCAGAACCAGATGTTCGGTTTGGACCCCTGTCCGCCTGCAGGGGGCGCGCTCGACTCCCCCCTCCCCCCTCCGCGGCGTCGTGACGTCATGCGGTGCCCCGCCTCTCCCGCCGGGCGGGGCCGGTGCTGCAGTGAAGCATCCTCAGCATCATTCGGAACCAGAACCCAGAGACATCCCGACACCGAGCTGCCGGAACCAGAACCGCAGGTGGGTCACACTTTAAGCTGCGGTCCGACCCGGTTCGGACCGGAGTTCTGGTTCGGACCAGCCGCTAAACTGATGAAAACATTTGAACCAATCAGAGCCGTCCTCGTCACAGCGTCCCGGGCGCGCGCACAGACAGGTGTTACAGAGGTTCGCCAGGAAAACCCGGTTCTGGTTCCGGTTCTGGTTCCGGTTCCTAGGTCAGTGTGATGGAGTCAGCAGCATAGTTTGGTCCGGCCCGGTTCGGTTCGAGTTGAACTACTTCAGAACCAGTCCGGAACCAGTTAAAGAACTCTGGTGCACTGGACTCTACTGGACCTGAACTGGTCTGATGGTTCTGCTGGTCCGGCCCGATTAATTTGTTAATTTCCAGTTTGATCCCTGATCAGAACTGGAACCAGAACCAGGCTGGACCGATGCTTTACCCGGTCCAGGACATATCCGTGTCATCCAGTCTTGAACTTTGACCGGAACCACTGGGTCCAGTTCCGTGTCAGAGACTGTTTCAGACGGGAGGGGGCGCCGCTTCCGGTTCTGACCCGTTCTGTGTTTGGTTCTGGTTCTGCTCAGGATGTTCAGCAGCGTTTCGGGTCGAATCCAACATGAGCGGACCGGGCCGAGGGCCTGGGCTCGACCCGGCAGGCGGTCCGGTACCAGAACCAGGACTTCTGGGCCCTGAGGGAGGAGTGCCTGCAGAACGGAACCGTCTTCCTGGACCCGCTCTTCCCGGCAGAACCCGGCTCGCTGGGCTTCAAGGAGCTGGGTCCACTCAGCGCCAAGACCCGGGGCGTGGAGTGGGCGCCGGCCCACGGTAAAGAACCAGAACCGAAACCGGGCCGGGAATCGAGGGCGGGTCGGTGACGCAGCTCTTCTAATTGGCTGGTCAGGAGCTGTCGGCGGAGCCGCGGTTCATTGTGGGGCGGAGCCACCAGGACCGACATCTGCCAGGGGGCGCTGGGTGAGTCACCATGGCAACCTGACCACGTCTACACCTCATTCAACTTGGTTCTGGACCCGGCCAGGTGTTCAGAACCCAGACCAGGTCCGGAACCTTGCTGGTCCTGATCCTGTTGGGTTTCCTCTGCTGAGGCGGGACCAAACCGTTTCAGAACCTAAAACTGAAGGTCTTGAGTTCCCAGCATGCACTGGGGCAGCTGCTACCTGTCCAACAGGTGCAGCAGGCTGCAGCTTTCCAGGAACCGCTGTGGGCGGGGTCATCCGGTGTGGGCGGGGCCAGTCGGTGTTTGTTAGAAAGCTGCAGGTGAGGCTGAGCTGCTTGTCACTGATGAGTCAGTCAGAGGAAAACTGAGGCGGTGGCTGCAACCTGCTGCTACAGCTGCAGCTCTCTGAGGGGCGGGGCCTCCAATGTGTGCTGTTTTGCCTTTCTGGCATCATCATGCCCCCTGCTGGGGACCAGTTGGCATCATGGCAACCAACCCCGCCCTTCTGTTTGCATATATATATATATATATATATATATATATATATATATATATATATATATATATATATATATATATATGCAAACAGAGGAAAGCCGTTGTGGTAGATGTAGCAATACCAAGTGATTGCAACATCAGGAAAAAGGAGAAACTGGAGAAATACCAGGGCCTCAGGGAAGAACTGGAGAGGGCCTGGAAGGTGAAGACCACAGTGGTGCCTGTGGTCATCGGGGCCCTCGGGGCAGTAACCCCCAAACTGGAGCAGTGGCTACAACAGATCCCAGGAACAACATCAGACATCTCAGTCCAGAAATGTGCAGCAGTCCTTGGCACAGCCAAGATACTGCAGGATCCTCAAGCTCCCAGGCCTCTGGTAGAGGACCCGAGCTCAGAGGATAAGAACCACCCGCGGTGGGTGAGAAGGGAATTTTATTTTTTATATATATGAGACGTATAAACTAAGGATGTATTCACACCAGCCTCTTTTAGTCAAGTTTACTAGTCTAATTTGTTTGTCTAAGTCCAGTTGGTTTGGGGAGTGTGAATGCAAATTTGAATTCAAATCCGGACTGATACCACCGGTACTGAATGAACTCTGAAAACCTCGGTCTCCGTCTGGCTGAAGTGAACTCTGATGCAGTTAGAAGGCAGTGAGAATGCAACTGGACTGGAGACCTGCTCCTAACGCCAGAAGTCAGCTACAGTGCAGGGCAATACTGTCTCCGGTACCGACATCACCGATCCGACCGGATCCAGGAAGGTCCGGTGTCGGTGTGGCTGTTGTCACCGACACCGGATTCTGTACAGCTGATGCCAAACCGGAGACAGAACTACAGACGCTGGGAGAAACGTTGAAGAAGCTATCACTACTGGAAAATGGAAATGCTAACATTTCCTCCCTGGAACCAAGAACCTTCCAGCAGGTCAGCGTTCCTCTCAGGCCTCTGGTGAGCCGTCATTATCCAGGTGCGTTAAACCAGGGAGAGACTAAAACATGCAGGAAGCGGCCCTCAGGGGCCCACTGTGGACCCCACTGCTGTAAAGCATCAGAATCCAGCTCATGGAAATCTGAGTGAACCTTGGCGCCCCCTGCTGGTGAAGTGACATGTGGAACATGATGCAATGGGAACCAGCTGTTGATTGATTGATAGATTCAGCTGCAGAGAAAAAGTCAACAACATATTTTCACTGTTTTCTTTATTTGAAATCAACCAGTCTTCATAAAAATCCCACAGCAACTAATATATCATCAACATTCCTTAAAATCTCCCATAATTCCTCAGTGTCTTCAGTCCATCAGCCGCCCAACTCAGTCACTTTGGAGCTGCATTAGCTCCACCTGCTGGACGAATCTGGTGGGACACTGGCCCCTGAACCTCCACCCAGAGCCTCCACCCAGAGCCTCCACCCTGAACCTCCACCCAGAGCCTCCACCCTGAACCTCCACCCAGAGCCTCCACCCTGAACCTCCACCCTGAGCCTCCACCCTGAACCTCCACCCAGAGCCTCCACCCTGAGCCTCCACCCTGAACCTCCACCCAGAGCCTCCACCCTGAGCCTCCACCCTGAGCCTCCACCCTGAACCTCCACCCAGAGCCTCCACCCTGAGCCTCCACCCTGAACCTCCACCCAGAGCCTCCACCCTGAACCTCCACCCTGAACCTCCACCCAGAGCCTCCACCCTGAGCCTCCACCCTGAACCTCCACCCTGAGCCTCCACCCTGAACCTCCACCCTGAGCCTCCACCCTGAGCCTCCACCCTGAACCTCCACCCAGAGCCTCCACCCTGAGCCTCCACCCTGAACCTCCACCCAGAGCCTCCACCCTGAACCTCCACCCTGAACCTCCACCCAGAGCCTCCACCCTGAGCCTCCACCCTGAACCTCCACCCAGAGCCTCCACCCTGAACCTCCACCCTGAACCTCCACCCAGAGCCTCCACCCTGAACCTCCACCCAGAGCCTCCACCCTGAACCTCCACCCTGAGCCTCCACCCAGAGCCTCCATGGCCCATGGGGCAACAAACCTTTTATAAGAGAACAAACAGACTGTTGTGGTTAATAATTAATGTTTCCCAATCATGATAAATTATGCATCAGCCGTTTCCTAGCAGGAGCCACTTCCTGTTTACCTGAACAACTTCCTGTTTGCCTGCAGCTTGAGGCAGTCAACATCTGAGAAAGTCAGGATTACAGAGGACACCTGAAGGCAGCATGGAACACAGGCTGTTGGAGGGAATGGGTCCGGTCCGGTCCAGTCCGGTCCGGTCCGGTCCGGACCAGGGTTAGGCTGAGGCTTGAATTCCTGCTACCAGCCCGGGAGGAGTTGCATAGACCTGGATCAGAACCAGAATCAGAACCAGGACCTGGACCTGACCTCACCTGGCCAGGTGAAGCGTCAGCTGACTGCTCTTGCTTCCTCCAGGCGACTGCTGGCTGTTGGCTGCTATCGGCTCTCTGACTCTCAACCAGCAGCTGCTTCATCGGGTGGTTCCTCATGGCCAGGACTTCAGCCACCAGTACGCCGGCATCTTCCACTTCCAGGTGAGATTCTACCTGCCAGCAGGCCACGCCCCGTGACCTGGAGGAGGAAGGAGCAGTTCCTCCAAGTCCTTCCTATGGGCCTGCAGGGTTGGGGCACCGCAGGTTTGTCTCTGCTTCATGAGCAGCTCATCGGCCCTGCAGGCCTGGATCCTTGGACTAGGCCGTCACAGAGGTTCACTGCTGATTCTACAAGTCTGAGTTTGGTAAACAGGATTGGATTCAGTCTGTCTGTCCTCAGTTCTGGCAGTTTGGCGAGTGGGTGGACGTGGTGATTGACGACCGGCTGCCGGTTAAAGACGGAGAGCTGCTGTTCGTCCATTCGGCTGAGGGAAGCGAGTTCTGGAGCGCGCTGCTGGAGAAGGCCTACGCCAAGTAAGACCTGGAACCATTTATCCATCCACCTGTTCATCCATCCAACCATCCATCCCTGTTTGTGTTTTCTGAGGCTGAATGGCTCGTATGAGGCCTTGTCCGGCGGCAGCACCACTGAAGGCTTTGAGGACTTCACTGGAGGCGTGGCGGAGATGTATGAGCTGAACAAAGCTCCCAGAGATCTCTACCGGATCATCGGCAAAGCTCTGGAGAGAGGATCGCTGCTGGGATGCTCCATAGACGTGAGTCCCAGCCTCCAGAAACCCCCGGACTCCAGAGTCCGTCAGGCCTCCTTGTAGAAACAAACTAAGTCTGAGTGAGTTGAAGATGATTGAGTGTGCTCTGTCCTCAGATCACCAGCGCTTTTGACATGGAGGCCATTACCTTCAAGAAGCTGGTGAAAGGCCACGCCTACTCAGTGACCGGTGTCAGACAGGTGAGCTCAGAGCGGCTCTCGCTGGCACGGTTAGGCAACCCGGTGCTACAGTCTGGACGCTGGAGCAGCGCTCACTCATGTGTGTCGTCTCCTGGTTTCTCCTGCAGGTGGAGCACCGCGGGCGGCGGGAGCGTCTGATCCGGATCAGGAACCCCTGGGGTCAGGTGGAGTGGACTGGAGCCTGGAGCGACAGGTCAGTGCTCCACAGAAAGGAAGAACAGGAACTTTGAGTTGGATCATCAATGGGAATCTTGATGTTTCAGCTCTTCAGAGTGGAATTCCATTGATTCTGCAGAAAAGGATGAGATGCTGTGTAAGATGGAGGATGGAGAGTTCTGGTAGGTTGGTACTGGACGGTCCAAGTCCTTCAAGTCCAGAATGTCCCAACGGGTTGATGTTCTTCTGTGTCAGGATGTCCTTCCAGGAATTTCTGCATCAGTTCTCACGTCTGGAGATTTGCAACCTGACTCCGGATGCACTGAGTCAGGACGCCACCAGCTTCTGGACCACCGTGACGTACGAGGGCAGCTGGAGGAAAGGAAGCACAGCTGGAGGCTGCAGGAACCACCCCAGTGAGGATAAAGGCTCTAGAGCAGGGGTGCCCAAAACGTCAATCGCAATCTACCGGTCGATCGCGGTCTACCGGTCGATCGCGGTCTACCGGTCGATCGCGGTCTACCGGTCGATCGCGGTCTACCGGTCGATCGCGGTCTACCGGTCGATCACGGTCTACCGGTCGATCGTGATCTACCGGTCGATCACGGTCTACCGGTCGATCACGGTCTACCGGTCGATCGTGATCTACCGGTCGATCGCGGTCTACCGGTCGATCACGGTCTACCGGTCGATCACGGTCTACCGGTCGATCACGGTCTACGGTAGATCTGCATCAGGTTTTGAGTGGATCTCTCCAGGACGCTGAGAGCAGCACTTCCTCTTCTGACAGACTTTTCAAAATATTCACTAAGATCCAAAACGTTTGTGGCTTCATTAAATAATAATAAAGCCTGAAACCTGATATCGTAACGGACTGAACGTTTTTAACGTAATCTTTGCTCGGCTTGCGGGGTGCAGGCGGTTGCCACGGCAACGGGTGTGCTTAACAATAAAGAGAAAAAGAGTAAAAAGGTGCGAGTGGTTCTGAGTTGATCACCTGTTCAGGTTATTCTACCTTTGTTTTCCTTCGCTGTGGTTCATCACAGCCGCTGGAGTTTCTGAACGTTCAATAAACGACAGACTTGGACTGATGACCTCGTTCGTTTGCAGTAAACGTCACAACCAACATCAAATAAGACAAATATATTTGATTAAGTTTTAACAAACAAATGGCTTCTACTACCATAATTGTGTCAAATTACATTAATTATATCCCAAATTCAGATTTGCCTTTCCCTCTGCAGAGCTCTTTGGTTCCTCCCATCAGTCTGCAGTTTAGCATAGTGATGTCATCAAACCAAATTTTATATATACCATAACTGACTGACAGCTGCTGGCCTCAGGTTTACAACCAGCTTCTGACTGAGAAACCAGTAACCTACTGAAACCAGTAACCTGCTCCCAGTGTCAGAATCTCACTAAGGAAGAAACTGCACTAGGTTTTTCTATCACTTTATCATTTCTGATATAACTGATGTATATTTGCATAGAAAATGAGTCAATAGGGTTTCATTTATAATTTCTATGTCTTCGTGTCATGAGGTAGATCTCAGCCGGCTGGTGAGAGAAAAAGTAGATTTTGGTCTCAAAAAGTTTGAGCTCTCCTGATCTAGAGCTTTCAGGCGCACCACTGTCATAAACCTATCTCTGATAAGACTTTATTTCCCATGATGCCTATCTGCAGACACCTTCTGGATCAACCCTCAGTACAAGATCACTCTTCTAGAGGAGGACGATGACCCTGAGGACGACGAGGCCGCCTGCAGCGTCCTGGTGGCTCTGATGCAGAAGGATCGCCGCCAGTTCCGCCGCCATGGCCAGGACATGCACACCATCGGCTTCGCCATCTATGAGGTCAGAGCTGCCACAAAATCCACCATGTTCTCTCAGAACTGCATGAAAACTAACCACCTTGCCAGAAACGCTGCCCGAAACTTGTTTTCCTCCTGATGGTCCGGTCGACCCGGTTCTACTGGAACCAGAACTCCAACAGCTGCTGTGGCTCTGAGTCAAACCAACCTGTTCCCCTCCTGGCCTGTGGGGCGCTGCACCAACAATCACTGAGAAGACGGAGGTTTGTAGGTGGACCAGAGTCTTGATCCACATCGCAGTTCGATGATGCGTTCGGGTCTCCCTACCGAGCCGGATGTCCCAGGCAAACCATCTGGACCCAAAGCGGACGAAGCGGCTCTGGTTTCCGATGGCAGACTGTGAAGAAGTTCTGGATCCAGGTCCGGTTTTCCCTCCAGCAGCCTGGAAAACTGTCGATGAAAGCAGCTTTAAGAAACCAAGTGTAGAAATCGGAGCAGACAGGAAGGTCGGCCGTCACCCGGTGCCTCTGGTGCTGCTTCAGCCCGTCACTGGAATATCGTCTGGAATATCGTCTGGAATATCGTCTGGAATATCGTCTGGAATATCGTCTGGAATATCGTCTGGAATATCGTCTGGTTCATTGTGTTTGCTGGTGATTGATTGGATCACCTACTGTAAGATCAGATTGAAGCATCAGAACCTCTTGTCAGTCCTGCACTGAGGTCCGGTTCCTCACTTTCGTCACTACAGACCGTTCTGTTTCTTCTTTCTGTCTCATTCACAGATTCCCAAGGAGGTTAGTTCCTATCATCTATTTCAGATGTCCTGTTTCTGGGAACCACGTTGACGCTCCCCGTCCCATCCTCTGGCAGTTCCGAGGTTCTGCAGGTGTCCACATGAAGAAGGACTTCTTCCTGCGCCGCTCCTCCTGCGCTCGCTCTGAAAGCTTCATCAACCTGCGGGAGGTGAGCTCCCGGTTCCGCCTCCCGCCCGGAGAGTACCTGATCGTCCCGTCCACGTTTGAACCCTCGAAGGAGGCAGACTTCGTCCTCAGGGTTTTCACTGAGAAACAGTCTGAGACAGAGTGAGTCTGTGAGACACTGGAGGTCTGGTTCTGGTTTTCGGGCTCTGATTGAGTCTCCTGTGAATCTGCAGGGACCTGGACGATGTGCTGGTGGCAAACCTGGATGAGGAGGTGAGAGATGAGCAGTGGTGATTGGATTACTGAGATTACTGATTGACTGCTAACAACAGCAATCCTTCACCTGCTGTTAAAATCACATTGATTTTTACCAAAACTTAATTGCAAATAATTTTATAATGTAACACCAACAATGTGTCTCAGGTTGAACTGAAGGAGAGATTGTTTAACGGTTGCAACGGTACAAAAAAAAAGTTTGTAATCTCTATTAAACTATAAATAGGATTTTTGATTTTAACCCCCCTGCAGTGCCCCCCCGCCCCGGCCTCCAGGCTCTGTGTTACGGCCCTGCGTTTGGTATCAGAGCGCAGCTCCTCCTGCGGCTCCACAGCTCAGATGGCTGCACAGATTTGTGACATTTCTCTAAATATTAATAATTATGATGCCATTTAGAGGTTCATTCGTGGCTGTTTCCAGGCTCTCTGCTCTGTTCATATCAGTCTCCATGTTTGCAGTTCCTGGAGCTCAACGTGAAGCTCGCCGCCGTTCACTGGTCATGTTTTAACTTGACATTAACAGACGCAGACGGACGGATCATCGGGGAAATGATGGAGCAAAACCACCTGGATGTCAGACACATTCTGGGTTTATGAGTCTCTGCTTATTTAAAAAGCCCAAATGAGCAACTTGACTTTCAAAAACAGCCCAAAAGCTGCTGATAATAATCAGATTGATGACAGAAACTCAAAATAGTTCCTGTTTTTCCAGAAACAAAGTGCGCGTCTCGTTTCCATTCTGTGGCATAAATACGGCAATCACTCCGCAAGACATGTAGAGGAAATCAAATTAAATTGCAAAAAGGGATTTGGATAAGTAACTGTAGAGTCACTACTGGATTTGAAAAAGCAACGCGTTGGATGATTCCTTACTGACCAAAGGACCAAAGGCAGTAACGTGTCACCTTGGTGTCCGCAGGAGGAAATCTCTGAGCGTGACGTTGACGACTCCTTTAGGTCCTTGTTTGCTCAGCTGTCCGGAGACGTGAGTTCGACTCCTCAGGCTCTTTTAGTGGCTGCGCCGCTCTGAGCACGCTCAGAAACCTGCTCAGAAACCAACCTGTTTGCTTTCTGTCCTCAGGACATGGAGATCTCGGTGCGGGAGCTCAGAACCGTCCTCAACAGGGTCGTCTCCAAACGTGAGTCTTTGTGAAATCTGCGCATATAGGGCGGGTCATCCATGTTTCTGCAGCCAATCAGGTTCCACACGACAGGATTCCCCCAGCAGTATCGAGCAGGTGTACACTGGGTGGAGATGTTCTGGGCCTGCAGGTTGGATCCAGACCTGAAGGTTTCAGGTTCCACTTCCTGAAGACGCTTCTTGTTTCTGGTGTCTGTTGTTGCAGACAGAGACCTGCAGACGGATGGATTCAGCATGGAGTCCTGCCGGGCCATGGTCAGCCTTATGGACGTATCCTACCTCTGAATGACAGGGTCGGTTCTGATCCGGCCTGAACCAGGTTCTGGGCAGGTTAGAACACATTACCGGGTCTGGATCAGGTAGACCTTAATTGGAGCTCAGAAAGACGGCAGCGCTCGGCTCGGTCTGCTGGAGTTTCAGATCCTTTGGAACAAGATTAGGAAGTGGCTGGTGAGTCAGTGGAGTAGTCAGGCTGGTTCTGACCCAAACGGGTCAGGGTTAAGGTCCTGCTGGGTCCAGTTTAGGTTTTCAGGAGATAATGTTGTGTTTCAGGGGATCTTCAGAGAGTTTGATCTGGATAAGTCTGGCTGCATGAACTCTTACGAGATGCGTCTTGCGCTGGAAAACGGCGGTGAGTTTTATGTTCCTGGAAGAAGTTTGGGTTGGACCGGGCTTGGTTCTCTGCAAATGACCTGGGATGTGCTCCATCTGCAGGGTTCAAACTGAACAACAAGCTGTATCAGATGTTGATCGCTCGATACGCCGACAGTGAGATCATCGACTTTGACAACTTCACTTGTTGCCTGGTCAAACTGGAGACCATGTTCAGTAAGTCCACACCCTGATCCATGAGCCGGTTCTGTTCATGTGGTTCTGAACTGACCTGTTGGAGTCTGTTGCTCAGGAATCTTCCAGGGCCTGGACAGAGACGGGACTGGAACTGTGGAGATGAACCTCATGGAGGTACAAACCCTGTTCTGTCCTTTTACTTTACAGCTTGGTTCTGGTCCTCTGGACTTTGGACCGAGTCCAGAGTCATGTTCTGTATTCTGATGATTCCAAACCACTCCGATCATTCCCATCTCGGATGAAGGAACCCAGTTGGATGATATTAACTTGACGTTTTCCTTCTGCTTCTCTTGTCGTTAACTCAAATATTGCTAGCGTTAATATTGCTAACAAGTATTGCTATTGTTAATATTGCTAACATAAGTATTGCTAACATAAATATTGCTAATATAAATATTGCTAACATAAATATTGCTAACATAAATATTGCTAACGTTAATATTGCTAACAAGTATGGCTATCGTTAATATTGCTAACATAAGTATTGCTAACATAAATATTGCTAACATAAGTATTGCTAACATAAATATTGCTAACATAAATATTGCTAACATAAATATTGCTAACGTTAATATTGCTAACAAGTATGGCTATCGTTAATATTGCTAACATAAATATTGCTAACATAAGTATTGCTAACATAAATATTGCTAACATAAGTATTGCTAACATAAATATTGCTAACATAAGTATTGCTAACATAAGTATTGCTAACATAAATATTGCTAACATAAGTATTGCTAACATAAATATTGCTAACATAAGTATTGCTAACATAAGTATTGCTAACATAAATATTGCTAACATAAATATTGCTAACATAAATATTGCTAACATAAGTATTGCTAACATAAATATTGCTAACATAAGCATTGCTACCTTAATTCTCTGGCATCAAACCTTCCTGTATTCATCTAGTTTCACCAGCTCACTGTTAACTTATTAAGCTGTGAGAAACACAAAATCTCTTTTGTTACTGGAATAATGTGAAGCTTACATGAGTAATTTGTAACAAACAAAATAAAAATACAATTAAAAAATAATGTTACTTAGCATTACTGACTTGAAGATGGTATGAATTTCGTATTTTCTTCTTAAAGTTTTTCACTGACCGATTCATTCTCAGTGGGGATGAGGTCGGCGTCCTGCTGGGTGGGTCTTCATGGGTCATGGCGGAAACGGATCCGGTTCTGAATAATGTAGAAATGAACTGTGTGATCTGATGAACGGATCATCCTAATGAACTGATTCTAGATATCCAGTGAGACTCAAATGAACCGACATTTCCATGACAACAGGCAGGAAGTGTAGCCACCAGGGGGCGCCTGACATTCACGGTTTGTCTGTTGCTTCTTCTCCACAGTGGCTCTTTGTGACCATGTGTGGCTGAAACCCAGAGCGCCCCCAAGAGGACAGACTGAGAAGCTGCTGCTGCTCCACTGAGATACAAAACGTCCACATTACAGAGTTACTACATAATCATAATAATAATATATAATAATTACAGGACAGCAAGGCTACAGTGTTGAGCCTCAGTCTGATTCTAAGTGTATTTATTATATTAATTCGTATTTACCTGTTAATTATCATAACCTTCACTAACATGCATGATTCCACCCAGCTCAGTTTACCCAAGAGGACTCACCTGGTCAGGTGAGACGGCTCGTCCATCAGTATTCTCTGATTGGAGAATACTGCTGTTCAGCTGTCATTCACTATGATCAGCTGCTTTCATTTCAGAGCTTATTTAACAAAATGTTAGAAATGGTTCATCTAAGAAAGTTTCAATCTCAAATAGAGAACACAGATTCATTCATTCATTCATTTCTACTGACATGCAGCTGGGCTCCACCGGGTCGTCGAACCAGAACCACCAACATCCTGCTGTTCCTGAGCTCTTCCTCCCTCCTGCTGTACCAGTTTGACCTGATAGAGGGCGCTGTAGCTCCTCTGTATTTATGCCTGTAAGAACCTGCTCAGGGTTTATTGAACTTTAATAAAGTGAAGCAGATCAGCTGATTGTGTGACTATCCACATCCTTTAACCTCCTGGATCAGAACCTAAAGCCCGGTTCCCTCCAGGTTCGTCAAACGCTTTTTATCCTGAAATATTCCAGATTCAGACAATAAACCGGGTCAGAACCAGGTCACTACAGGTCCAAACCCAGTCCACAGGTTCTGGTGAAAATCATTAGGAACTGGTTGGTGGGTTCGCTCACCAGCCAACCGAGTGACAGAAGATCAGACCCGTCAACGTTAACGTCCGCAAGTGACTGTTCATTTATGGGTCAGGGGTTAGGTTAGGGTTAGGGGGTCACACACCATTCAGCAGTAGCAGGAAACAGATGCAAACATTAAATCAAGAGACAATAATAAAAGCAACAGTCCAACACCTCATGCTGACCTCTGTCCCTGAGCGCGCTGGGACAATTTGCAAGACAGACGGAGAACTGAACCACAAACTCCAGGCCAATCTGTTGACATAGGATTGATCCCGGCAGGGCGAGGGACCCCCAGGGGCGCCGAGGGGCCTCTCGGGGGCGCCGCTGTTGCGAATCAAAGCTGTTGGTGTTGGATCTTGGAGGAATTTCCTCTTGCATGTCCAGATGCTCTGCTGCAGATTGTTCCACGTGGATCCATGGCCCATTGATCCGTCACAGCCGACATTACAGAACCGACAACTCTCCTCCTGCAGCTGACTTAACCCCTGGGGCCACAAACCCCTGGGGCCAAAAACCCCTGGGGCCACAAACCCCTGGGACCAAAAACCCCTGGGGCCAAAAACCCCTGGGACCAAAAACCCCTGGGGCCACAAACAGAACCGGAACAGGATGAGCTTATATTCTCATCCTGTATGAGAATATAAGCTCCTAATTTTGGATGACATCAAATGTCATTAGCCTGATTACATGTAAGCTTTAAAATAAAATAAAAGTTGCTTCATCTTATTTCTGTAACTGTACTGAAAATCTGCCTCTTCATCGGTCTAGTCCAAGTATTTCTGTTTGTTATAAAGATGTTTGTTAATGTTTGATCTGCTGGGTTATTGAACCAGGAAAAGATTCATTAATGAACACATTAATGGGAGGATATTGAAGGACCTCGGTACCAACAAGTTCATCCCAGGTTCGGTCCAAACTGCTCCAGCTGTTACGGAACCAGTTCCCAGTTGGACCACAGACAGAAAGTTCTGGATGATCCAGATCGTAACAGCACTTGGTCCAGAACTTCAGTTCCTGGATCTCAGTGCTGGTTTGAGCCGGTCCATCAGAACATCCTGACTGATTACTCTCTGGTTCTGGTTCTGATCTTGCTTAGTTTGGGCCAGATTCCAGAAACTGCAGACAGAAACTTTAATACTTTACAGACATTTATTCTGATTATTTTACACAAACGTGATTTAAAACGTAATGATCCGCTCAGCGGGCCAGAACCAGAGCTGGTTTCGGTCCCGGCTCTAGTTCTGCTTCTGCACCCGTCCCTGCGCTTCCCGTCCCTCCAGCGGACCCCAGCAGCCCTGGGCCTCCAGCAGGGTGGTGTCGGTCTGGGCTCCCAGGAACCGGGCGGTGAGCTCCGGGTCCAGGACCTTCAGCCGGACCCTGGAGCCCCGCTGCAGCCTCTCTCCTCCGGCCGCGGGTCTCCGGCAGACGCAGTGAAACTTCCCTCCGAAGTCGATGTACAGGTCGTCCCGGACCACATGGAAGATGTTCCCGACCACAACCTTGTCTCTGAGCGGAACTGCCTGGAAGAGCGAGGCGAAGGTCTGCTCCTCGCCGGAGGTGGAGGCGCTCTGACCGGGCGCGGAGGTCTCTGCCTCCCGCTGGAGCTCCGCCTGCCGCTGGAAGGCTGCCGCGAAGCCGGTTCTGGTTCCGTCCTCACAGTTCGAGCTGAAGGAGGTCCGGACGGAAACGCTTGAGGAGAAGCGAAACACGGACCGGCAGCCGAACCTCAGGCTCCACAAGGCCGCCATGTTGTCCTCCAAGACCAGAAGAAGACGAGTTCTCTTTGACTTCCTGTTGGGCCACAGCGCCCTCCCCGGCTGATTTAAGAAGGTTAATGCAAATCTGGACTGGAAATCTTATACACCTTCAGAAACTTTTCAAATTTTAAATGTTTATTTGTTTGTTTATTTTTGTCTGTTTGAAATGAATAGAAAATTAAGTTTATTATTTTATGTATTTACTGGTTTGTGTTTCGCCCAAGAACGTCGATTCTCATCCTATGCGCCAGGAGGCGCCTGGGAGACGTCCCCATAAAGTCCTGCGCCTGCGCAGTGCGTTCAGCGGCGTAACAAACGGAGCCAAGATGGAGGTGTTTGTTGTTGCTCCGAGCTTCAGGTGCTCAAGCTTCGAGTTTCCACCTGGTTCTGTTGTCAGAGACGTTCTGGAACGGTTAGTCCCGCGCCAGGTGAGTGATTTTATCTAACAGAACCGGAACCGAACCTTAGCGTGGGGCTTAAATCGGAGCTGGAAGCCTGTTAGCTGCTGAGCTACCGAAGGCTGATGTTGGATATTTAAAAGAAAATCTTCGCATTTCAACATGTTATAGGTTGACAGCAAGCTTTAACATAAATCTCCTATTTCAATTCAGAGCTGCATTAACGTTAGTTTAAGATGTTCCAGTTTCCTGGAGGTGATCAGATGGGAGATTTCTTTTCTACTAAATCTTTATTGCTTGTGAAGAATTACATATTTAACATTCAATCAGTGAAACTGGTGTTCAGATCAAGTTCCTGCTGGGACTCCTCTGATCCCAGTACTTCCAGTTTCAGTGGAACTGGGAATTCAAACGGTTCTCAAACTCTGAACAAATAGTTTCGTGTTTAGAGAAGATTTGTATTATTCTAAATAAATGTATTTCAAGATTTAGATTTATGCATCATTTTGTGACGGTGTCCCACAGCACTGAGTGACCTTTAGATGTCAGAAAGTAAAAGTCGGAACCACAGGTCTCACCCTGAAGTGGTGTCGGGTCGTTGGTTCTGTCTCAGGTCCAGTTTGTAGGAATCTTGACTGATCCAGTATTTCCCATCAGGACTGGTACGTCACCACTAACGGCCGTCCGGGCCGGAGGAGCGGCTGCAGGATGGGGCCGTCTACCGCCTGGATCCCCGGCTCCGCGGAGGGAAGGGAGGTCAGTTCCAGGAAATGCACTGATCCCATCACCAGGTTTTGGGTCCATGTTTCATTGGTTTTCCAGGTTTTGTTGGTTTTCCAGGTTTTGGGTCCATGCTGCGGGCTTTGGGCGCGCAGATCGAGAAGACAACCAACAGAGAGGCCTGCAGAGATCTGAGCGGCCGGCGCCTTCGGGACGTGAACCATGAGAAGGAGTAAGCTCCTCCTCCTGCTCTGGATGTTGTTTTGTATTGAAGGATCCAGACAGATTCTGGTTCTGGTTCTGGTTCTGGTAGGATGGCCGACTGGCTGAAGAAGCAGTCGGAGCGCGAGGCAGAGAAGGAGCAGCGGCGGCTGGAGCGTCTGCAGAGGAAGCTGTCGGAGCCGCGGCATCAGTTCGCCGACCCGCAGTACCAGCAGCAATGCCACGACCTGAGCGAGCGTCTGGAGGACTCGGTTCTGAAAGGTGACGGGTCGGAACCGGATGGCGGGTCGGAACCGGGTCACGGGTCAGAACCGGGTCCTGAAGGTGTGTGTTGCAGGTCTACAGGCGACCGCCAGCAGTCAGGTGAAGGTCGGAGCCGACCCGGATCAGAACCAAGCCCCTTCGAGGAAGAGGAGGAAGACTGCGGCGGCGGCCGGGTTCTGGTGGGTGTCTGAGGTTCTGACCCAGTGAAGGGAGGACAGACCGGCTCTGACCCTGTCACCATGGTTACAGGACGGGGCTGGACGAGCTGCTGAGCTCTGAGGATGAAGATGATGATGATGATGATGATGAAGATGATTCTCCATACAGCAGAGGAGCCGTTACCATGACGACCCCGAGGGAGGAGGCGGAGCCTGGACCCAGCAGCAGGTTTGTTGATCGATCAGATATCTGGATCAATATCAGCAGTGAGGACATGCCTGCTCCTCAGAGGTCAGAGGTCAGCATTAGATCAAAATGTTCAAAGTCCACTGATCGGACCGACTGCTGGTTCTGGACCGACTGCTGGTTCTGGACCGACTGCTGGTTCTGGACCGACTGCTGGTTTGGACCGACTGCTGGTTCTGGACCGATCCGTTTCAGGATGGGTTCTGTTGCTGGGAGGGCTGGTTAAACTGGTTCTGATGGTTCTAACTGGTTCCAGCTGTAGAAACCCGTCCAGCGCCGGTCCAAATATTCTCAGTTCTGATTCAGAACCAGTTGTTTACTTTAACCAGAACCGATCCAAACCAGACCATTTCACCATCAGAACCAGAATCAAACTGGTTCCTATGATCTGGATCCACATCCAGACTCAAGTTCTGCTGTCTTCTCCAGCACCGCTCCAACCACCAGAACATCAGAGGTCCAGGACCCCGGGCTCCCGACGGAACCGGCCCAGGTCCAGGACCCCGAGCTCCAGACGGAACCGGCCCAGGTCCAGGAGCTCCAGACGGAACCGGCTGTTGGACTGTCAGGGGACCAGAACCCTCCTCATGGCTGCAGGGAACCGGGTCAGGTCAGAACCAGAATCCATATGCTTAAACATGATTTAGAGCAGAACCCTCTGCTGGTTCTGACAGTTCTGGTTCTGCCTCAGCAGTTGGACCTGTCCTCGGTGCCGTCCGTCCAGCAGCTGGAGTCTCTGGGTCTGGAGGTTCTGAAGGAGGAACTGATGCGCCGCGGCCTGAAGTGCGGGGGAACGCGGTCGGAGCGCGCCGCCCGCCTCTTCTCCGTCAGAGGCCTGAGTCCAGACCGGATCGACCCGGCACTGCTTGCCAGAACCAGGAAGAAGTAGACCCAGCGGGGAGGTTTCTCTGGAAGGCGGGACTTCCTGTCCGGAATGAAGCGTCCGGGTCTGGATGTTGGAATCGTTTATTTGAACATGTGAATCGATGATCAGATTTGTTTTTATGAAATTTAATAAAATGCTTCAGAACCGAACCGAGTCGTTTCTCAGTCTGAGGGTCCGGTCCGGTCAGAACCCAGGGTCCCAGGAAGTGACCCGAAGAACTTCCTGCTCCTCGAAGCATTCGATGACATCACCGGCGCTGAATTCCACCTCGCCGTCCAGCGACACGCCGCACTCCATGCCCGCCTTCGCCGTCGCCACGTCGTCCTTATGGTGCTTCAGCGCCGACACGGAACCTGCACCAGAACCAGAACCGGCTCATTAAAGCTGAACTGTTCTATACCCTAACCGTCTCCACGGTGATGCACCGCTCCTGATCTGTCAATCATCCTTATGCATGTGCTGCCAAAAGTTCTATTGGCAGAAACAACGTTCAGGAAAGCGTTTGTTACTGCTAATGAGGAGGGTTTGAGCAGCGCGTACATAAAGTGACTGTCAGCATTGGTTTAACTGAAACTGGTGTTTAATGATATCTGAAGGTTCCACCTGACCTCTGACCTCCTGCTCAGCCAATCAGAGAAGGTCCTGACCAGGAGAACGAGTTGAACTGAACATGTACCAGTTCATCCAGATCCCATCAGAATCCGACCACATGAATCCCCGAGGTTCAGAACAACAGGAAGTTAAAGTTCAGAACCAATTGGACCCGGCCCGGTTCTGGTCTCACTCACCCTCCCACACCGTGTCTCGTCCTCGGATCAGCCGGAACTTCAGCCGGCGGTCCAGTTGACCCTTCTGGACCCGGCAGCCGGCCACCAAAACCTTCTTCTTCCCCACAGAGACGTCGAAGACGGCGAGGACCGTCGCCTCACCTGGCGGGACAGGTGGACAGAGCAGACTGTGGGTTCTGAGACCCTCCAGCAGATGGGAGCGGTCTGACCCGGTTCTGGACTCACCCACGGTGCAGCAGCGGCGCTGCGGCGGCAGCTTGCCGCTCAGCTCCTGGCGCAGCTGCTCCACCAGCTGGTAGATGACGCGGTGCAGCCGCAGGGCCACGCCCCGCCGCGCCGCCAGCTGCGTCACGCTGCGGCTCGCCGCCACGTTGAAGCCGTACACCGACCCTGAAGAACAGAACAGGAACCTGCTCCCGTTACCAAGCCAACGCTGTTTGACCCCGGGTCGCCAGACGTACCTCCAAACGCGGCGGCCATGTTGACGTCGTTCTCCGAGACGTCGCCGACGCCAAAGTGGATCACGTCCAGCTGGCACTCGTCCTGGGCGTCGTAGCCGTCCAGGATGTTCAGCAGCGTCTCCACCGACCCGTCCACGTCTCCTGTAGGTCAGAGGTCAGCAGTAGGTCAGAGGTCAGCAGTAGGTCAGAGGTCAGCAGTCAGCGCCGTCCCCACCTTTGATGACGAGCGGCAGGCTGACCTCGTCGCTCTCTGTCCGCTCGCTGGGCCGCATGGAGAAGCGGGTCTTGTCGGACCGGTACAGCGCCTTCCTCCTCTGGCGCCAGCTCAGGTGGGCCAGCGGCTCGCGCTCCCGCCGTACTCCTCCAGGTGGCGCTGCTGCTTGAGCTGGATGGCGCTCTGCTCCTCCAGCAGCTTGTGCTGCTCCGCCTGGTAGCTCCTCCACTCCACCACCTCTCTGGCCCGCTGCTGCAGGCCACAGGACAGGCTTTTACTGCAGCGGTCCACACAGGAAGTAGCTAATGCACATCAGAGATTCACCGATCAGACGCCGGTTCCGGCCCGGTTCTGGCCCTCACCTCTGACTCCACCTCCAGCACCGTCTCTCCGGCAGACGGCAGCTCCTTCCATCCGACCACCTGGACCGCCGCGCTCGGCGCCGCCTCCGGCACCGTGCGGCCGTTCTCGTCGAACAGGAAGCGGACCTTGGCCCAGCACGGCCGGCCACCAGGACGCAGCCGCGCCGCAGCGTCCCCCTCTGGACGATGGCCGTGGTCACGGGGCTGGGCACAGGAAGCGGGTCCGTCAGAGGAACTCCCGTCAGAACCGGACCCGGTTCCGGAGGACTCACCCTTTGCCTTTGTCGGTCCGGCTCTCGATAACGACGGCCTCCACCGGGCCGTCCGGGTCCGCCTTCAGCTCCAGAACCTCGGCCAGCGCCACCGTGGCCTCGGCCAGAGCCTGCAGGTTGTCGCCCTGGAAACAGCGACATCGTGGGTCGGGCCGCGGCGGTTCGGGTCGGTCCGGCCGCGGCGGTTCCGTTCGGATCGTCTCACCTTCAGAGCCGAGACGTGGATGGCCTGAACGTCGCCGCCGAACTCCTCGCAGACGACGCCGTGCGCCAGCAGCTCCCGCTTCACCCGCTGGGGGTCGGCCTGCGGCTTGTCACACTTATTGATCGCCACGATGATGGGCACTGAAAATACAGATCAGGAGACTTTAAGAATCCCTTGTTTGCTCCCGGGACCAATGAGTCGTTTGCATCAGACCCAGAGAATCCCGGAGCAGGACGATGGATCCATGACTGGACGTCCAGAGAAACTCGGGTTTTATGAGACGGAAAGACACGAAGCTTTAAGGTCCAGAGAGACAAACAACTGGAACCTCAGGAGATGCAAAGACACAATCTAGACAATTTGTTTTCCTTCTATGCAAACAGTTGTAATCAAGCTGAGTCTCAATGTTGGTTCTGGTCCGAAGACGGAGGGACCGGGATCTCTGGGCAGAGTTCTCCGTTCAGTTGGAAGATTGGACCAGAAAATGGAACCGTCTCCCTGTGTCCATATTAATGTCCAGCAAGAATGTTGGATCCAACACCGGGCCAGAACCAGAACACCAGAACCAGAACACCAGAACCAGAACACCAGAACCACGCCCGCTCCTACCTTTGGCGTTCTTGGCGTGTTGGACCGACTCCACGGTCTGGTTCATGACGCCGTCGTCGGCCGCCACCACCAGCACCACGATGTCGGTGGCGTTGGCGCCGCGGGCCCTCATGGAGGAGAAGGCAGCGTGGCCCGGCGTGTCCAGGAAGGTGATCCGCTCCCCAGTCGGCAGCTGGACTGGAGGAGGGATGGACAAAGGTCAGAGGTCGGGAGCTCTGCGAAGAAGGAGCTGGGAGCTTTGGGGGCGGAGCCTCCCGGCTGGCCCCGCCCCCCCGCGGCACCGTTACCCAGAAAGGCTCCGATGTGCTGCGTGATGCCGCCGGCCTCCATGGCGACCAGCTGGCTCTTCCTCAGGCTGTCCAGCAGCGTCGTTTTCCCGTGATCCACGTGACCCATGATGGTGACCACCGGGGGGCGACTCACCAGGAGCGCGGGGTCAGCGGGGGGCCTGGGGGCAGGGAAGGGTCACAGACAGGTCAGTCGGATGATTGGCGGGCCGGGCCGGGCCGGGTCGGGTCCGGTCGGGCCCGGTTCCGCCCCTACCTCCTCTGGGCGTCTCTGTCGGGCCGCTCTCGGCTCTCGCTCAGCTTGGCCCATGTGAACTTCATCCCGGACCGGATCACCGCCTCCTTGATCCAGCTGTCCTCCAGAACCGAGTCGGGCCCGAGCGAGTCCAGGTCCGCCGGTGTGTTGAGCAGCGCCTCCAGAACGTGGTCTGCAGCAGAACCGGGTCAGTAGAATCTGCAGGGGAATCGGGTCACCGGCGTTAGCTCGGCTGCTCACCAAAGTCTCTGTTCATGGCCGCCGCCAGCGCCGCCGCCGTCATGCCCTGTCTGATCTCCACTTCCTGTTTGTCCACTTTGAGCTTCTTCTGCTCCTTCCTCTGACCTTTGACCTGCACCAAGTGAGTCATTAGCCTTTACTCTAGTGCAGGTCACCAACCACAAGCTAAGCTAACATCCACAGCCTTACCTGCTTGGAGGTCAGTGGTCTGCTCTGAGGCCAGGTGAGCAGGGGCGGGGCTCCGGAGCAGCCGCGCAGCCCGCATCACTGATGACATCACACTCATAGCTACAGAGGACACAGGTGGAGGACAGGTGTTTCTGTTCAGCCAGGAGACAAACTGCATCTGTCCTCACTGGAGGAAAAAGCATTTTGATTTATTTGTTGGACTTTTATTGTGAAAACCCTGCTGATGATGATGATGATGCAAAGAAGGATTTCACACAAAATCAGGAAAATTAAGCATAACTCTGACCATCCTCTTCATGAAACGGTGTCAGTCAGAAGCTTCTTCCAGTTCGATGTGACACAGACTGCTACAGCAGATCCGTCTACAGGAACTGAGTTGGAACTTTATGGTATCAATCAAGTATTGAATTTGAAACGACAGAAACACAAAGACTCCCCTCAGCTGATCTGAGAAACGGAAGAGAGAATCTTTCAAAATAAAAGTTTCTGCAGATTAAACATCTGAACTAAATCAGCAGATTAGAAATAATAATATTCAGACTGATGAACCAAACGGCCTAAAGTTCAACAGAATCAGTAAAAGCAGCTCCTCACATACCGAACTGGTCAGCCGGAGGGTCTAGTCAAAGCCCACAGGTCTGTTCAGCTGCCGAGTAGATTCTTTTCTCTTCTTCTGGTTCTGCTGCTCTTCACCTCATTCCGTCACCAACCACCAACCTCACCGTGAACGACACCGGCAGCCGCCATGATGATGACGCAGTAAGTCACGTGACGCTGATCTGACTCCTCCCCCAGAACCAGACGGATCCAAACTGGCTGAGATTCTGGAGCTCTTCGGTTCCGAGTCCATGACCGCTGATGGGAACCATGTGGTAACCAACCGAGCGGAGCCGGTTCTGAACACGGAGCCGAACGTTCAATAAAACCACAGAAACGCTCATGTTGTGCTTCATGTGACAGTTTTATTTATGATAGAGGTTCCGACCCGGTTCCGACCAACCCTTCTGAATCAAGATGGTTCTTCAGCTCAGCCCGGGTTGGACCACAGAGACTCTTCAGTATGACATCGGAACTGGACCCGGTTCCGACCCGGTCGGAGCTGGACTTCAGCAGCGCTACATGAGGCCGTGTTGGATCAGAACTTTGGTTCTTCACAGTTTCAGATTCAGGCAGAACTTCTTCTTCTGCCCACAGCAGCAGGCAGCGCGTGGAGCAGAGGGAGGAAACGGCGCCACCGCGCGGCTCCCAGCGGCTCCTGCATCTGCTGCTTTTAGAGGTAGAAATCAGTTTCTACAGATGATCTGACGGTTGAGCGGCTGGGACCAAACACTGATCCATCTTCTCTTTTAGTGCGTCATCATCATCATCATCACATGACACAAACACAACAGCATCCACATGTAAAAGCCCTAAAATTATAGCACCACCAGCAAAATGAATCTGTATCAAATGTTTGGTCAGATTTTAAAAAGGCACAGACTGACACCAAACACGTCACATGACAGCTACAGGTGGAGATCAGACGTTTCTCCACGGATCTACAGAGAACAATAAACCTGAAACACTCACGGGGTCGTCACTTTCAGCCAATCGCAGGCCTGGAGGTCCGGGGCCTTCATCAGAGGAAGAGGAGGACTCACTGGCATCGCCACACCAACAGGCTGCAGAGAAGAAGAAGAGATGTTCCTGCTGCTGCAGTCGCCATGCAGTAGACCAGCCTCAATATTCAGCTTGAGCTGTGAATATTTCACTGCAGTTTTCTAAATCGTAACATTTAGTCAATATTTCATCTTTATAGTAAAATGAGATCAAATTTTAAAAAAGCTATTTTTACTATTAAACAAAAAAATGATGGTCTTCAGTTACAGTCGGATCGCGTTTCTGAAAGCTGCTCAGAGTTTTCAGCTTATAATCATTTATGATTATTCATATATTATTAGCAGATCGCTATCCCGTTTTCCTCTATTTTTCAGGTTGAGATTTAAGGGTTTAAACTCGTTCATTATGACGTTTATATGGGGGCTTTTGATCGACATCAAATAATATATGAAATGGACCAAACCAAACCAAACCAACCAACCAACCCAACCAACCCAACCAACCCAAACCAACCAACCCAACCCAACCCAACCCAACCAACCCAAACCAACCAACCCAACCAACCCAACCCAACCCAAACCAAACCAACCAACCCAACCAACCCAACCAACCCAAACCAACCAACCCAACCAACCCAACCCAACCCAACCCAACCAACCCAACCAACCCAACCCAACCAACCCAACCCAACCAAACCAAACCAAACCAAACCAACCAACCCAACCCAACCAACCCAACCCAACCCAACCCAAACCAAACCAACCAACCCAAACCAACCAACCAACCCAACCAACCCAACCCAACCCAACCCAAACCAAACCAACCAACCCAAACCAAACCAACCAACCAACCCAAACCAAACCAACCAACCCAAACCAAACCAACCAACCAACCAACCCAAACCCAAACCAAACCAACCAACCCAACCAACCCAACCCAACCCAACCCAAACCAAACCAACCAACCCAACCAAACCAACCAACCAACCCAACCCAACCAACCAACCCAACCCCAACCAACCAACCCAACCAACCACCCAACCCAACCCAACCAACCCAACCCAACCAACCAACCAACCCAACCAACCCAACCAACAACCAACCCAACCCAACCCAACCCAACCAACCCAAACCAACCAACCCAACCAACCCAACCCAACCCAACCACCCAACCCAACCCAACCCAACCCAACCAACCCAAACCAACCAACCCAACCAACCCAACCCAACCCAACCAACCCAACCCAACCCAACCCAACCACCCAAACCAACCAACCCAACCAACCCAACCCAACCCAACCCAAACCAAACAACAACCAACCCAACCCAACCAACCCAACCCAAACCAACCAACCAACCAACCCAACCCAACCAACCCAACCCAACCCAACCAACCCAACCCAACCCAACCAACCAACCCAACAAACCAACCCAACCAACCCAACCAACCCACCCAACCCAAACCAACCAACCCAACCAACCCAACCCAACCCAACCCAACCAACCAACCCAACCAACCCAACAACCCAACCCAACCCAACCCAACCAACCCAACCAACCCAACCCAACCCAACCAACCAACCAACAACCAACCCAACCAACCCAACCCAAACCAACCAACCCAACCCAACCCAACCAACCCAAACCAAACCAGCTGCATGAACACAAAACCTCCTGAGAAAATAAAAGGCAGAATTTATGGAAAATTGGATCAATAAAAACAAAATCCTGCTGATCAATTTCTGCTTTTATAGACAGAGGAGAGTCTGAGCTATATAAACCCAGCAGATTAAATCCGGTAGATTAAACCCAGCAGATTAAATCTGTAGATTACATGACAGATTGTCTACAGAACTTCAGAAAGTACAAATATGGGCACAAAAAGAATTTGGGTTTCAACTAAAGAAATTTGTCTCGATTTTAAAATTAATATTAAGTTTATAACAAAGACTTATTATTTGAAGTGTTTGAAGAGAAGACGTTTTAGAGTTCAACGGTACGTCTGTGTCTAATTTTCTTTTGAGAACAATATTTCTTTGCATAATGTTTGTTTATGAGCAGAAAGATGAAACCAGAGAGTCTGCATTACAGTAACATTTCAATATTTTACTATTAACACGATAACATCTATGGAGAATCTCTAGAGACTTCTCCAGTCTCGTCAGTTCTGACCCGGTTCTGACCTGCAGTCGCTGCCTCCGGCGCTGATAACATACTTGTCGTCGCAGGAGAAGCGGACGTTGGTGACGTGAGCCGAGTGGCCGAAGTAGCGCTTGTGCTTCGCCTGGAGGGACAGCCAGAGAGAGGACAGGGGTGACGGGTCGACCCGGTTCTGACGGGTCGACCCGGTTCTGCCGGGTCCGGAACACGTTCCGGTCAGACTCCGTCTCTTACAAATTTCTCCGGGCAGGGGAAATCGAAGAGCTTGACGAGGCCGAAGTCGTCTCCGGTCACCAGGTTGAGGCCGGCGTGCGAAACGCAGGGCAGGTGACATCGGCCTTGTCGGCGTTTCGCGGCCAAACGCCCAGAACTTCATCACCAAAGATGCTGGAGAAACAAGAGAACCCAAACCGGTCAGAACCGGTCAGAACCGGTCAGAACCAGTCAACGGTCAGAACCAGTCAGAACCGGTCAACCGGTCAGAACCAGTCAGAACGAGTCAGAAACAGGTCAGAACCGGTCAGAACCGGTCAGAACCGGTCAACCGGTCAGAACCAGTCAGAACGAGTCATACCGGTCAGAACCGGTCAGAACCAGTCAACCGGTCAGAACCAGTCAGAACCGGTCAACCGGTCAGAACCAGTCAGAACGAGTCAGAACAGGTCAGAACCGGTCAGAACCGGTCAACCGGTCAGAACCAGTCAGAACGAGTCATACCGGTCAGAACCGGTCAGAACCGGTCAGAACCAGTCAACGGTCAGAACCAGTCAGAACGAGTCAGAACAGGTCAGAACCGGTCAGAACCGGTCAGAACCAGTCAACCGGTCAGAACCAGTCAGAACGAGTCAGAACAGGTCAGAACGGTCAGAACCGGTCAGAACCACTCAACCGGTCAGAACCAGTCAGAACCGGTCAACCGGTCAGAACCAGTCAGAACGAGTCAGAACCGGTCAGAAACGGTCAGAACCGGTCAGAACCAGTCAACTGGTCAGAACCAGTCAGAACGAGTTAGAACCGGTCAGAACTGGTCAGAACCAGTCAGAACCGGTCAGAACCAGTCAACCGGTCAGAACCGGTCAGAACGAGTCAGAACGGTCAGAACCGGTTAGAACCGGTCAGAAACAAGTAACAAGTAACCTGATGGTTTGGCTTTCAGACAAAAAAATGATTCACTTTTCCGTAATTCCTTTTGTGATTCTTAAACACGACCAGAACCGGATCCTGGTTCTGTAATGGAGGACGTTCGGACTCAGTGAGAGTTTATTGCTAAAGATGAACTAATTCATTCATTAAAGAAATGTTGATGGACTTCAGAGCTGCCTGTACCAAACCCTCCGTTTCTATCCATGAAATATGAGAGGCGCCTCGGTTCTGTTCCCGGGAGCCGGACCGGGCCCGTCAGGTTCTACTGATCCAGTTTGGGTTCAGGCTCAGGTTCTACTGGATCACTTTCAGTCTTATCTTTGAATTGTTATAAAGCTGTCCAGAATAATCACTGGGACGAGTCTTAAAGTTCAGGTCCAGTTCTACAGAACCAGAATCAGAAGAACTTAAAGCTACAGGCTCCTGCCCTCTGCTGGTAGATACAGGTACTGCATTGCAGCAGGAAAAGGTTCGTTTGTGCCTCTTCTGTCTGAATTTGACCTGATACTCCCAGCAGGGAAGCCGAAGAGGACTGAGGTTTGCAGATTTTGTTTCTGGTGTCGGTGGAACCTCAGGGCGGTATCTCCGTCAGGGGGTGGAGCTCATCTTGCTTCACAGGTCATAAATGTTGTTATTTTTCCATTGAGAACTTTGTGCTGCCTTCAAAGCAACATGAAACCTGGCTTCTCATTGGTTCCTTAGCGAGCCTATCAGAGTTATCCAACCAAAGTCTGTCAATACCTTCAGGAAAAGTCCTGGAGAACTTTCAGGTTTGGACCAGAACCAAGTCAGACATCATGCTTTCTAACTACAGGCTCCTGATGAATAGAATTGTTACTAAAGGTGCATTTCCCAACCTCAGCGTCAGTCTCACCTGGTCCAGGTCGCCCAGGTGATCCGTTCAATGACATTCAGCTCTGTGACCATCTTCCCTGAGGGGACTTCATGGACCTGACGAGTGTAGGTGCTGGTGGACACCTGACACAAGGCGAAGATGTGAACTGTTAGAGGCTGCAGAGATCAGTCAAAAACCCAAAGCTTGAACCCGATCACCTGGATGTGTTTGCTGTCAGCAGAGAAGTCGATGTGGATAACGAAGCCGGGGATGTCCTTACAGTATCCGATTCGGTTGAGTGACGGGCCCAGAGTCAGATCATAGAAATCTACAGCACTTTCTACTGAACCCACTGCAGGAACCGGTTATCTGGACTGAACCTGGACCACAACGACCCTCAGATGTTCACAGACGCCACATGGAGGAGCTCAGCTCAAATGCACTGCTTTACTTACCGGATGTCCTGGATGGAGACACTGCGGTCTCTTTTTGCCCCAGACAGTGAGGGAGTTGACCAGCAGCACGATGAACTCGCCATTCTCCATGCCGATGGAAACCATCTCTCCATTGGGGCTGTAGCATGTGCATTTGGCAGGGTGACCCAAACTCACCTTGTTCAGGAGTTTCTAAAGCAGAAAAACAAATGAAAGTTTGCACTGCAGGAAATCTGAAGGCCAGACTGGACTCTGGAGGAAAATACCTTGTCAGCCAGGTCCCAGATGCGTATGGTCCCATCATCGCTAGCAGAGATGAAGACGTCTTTGAAAGGATGTGATGCTAAACCCCAGATTCCTCCCTTAGTGTGACCATTGATCATGGTGTTGGAAGCAGCATTCTTCTCTCCAACCTCTATGATCTCCCCGTCTTTGGTTCCCACCAGAATCTTACCCTGCAACAAAGAGGATTAGATATTATGGAAGATTAGGACCTTGGATTGAGCGCGACAATGTATTTTCAGCAACAAGGCAGTTCAAAGTGTTTTACATTAATTGGAGGGAGATACGAACAAAATAACAAATTGGTTCCCCGTGTTTAATAAGAATAAGAACAAATAATCTGTAATTTAAAAACTAATAGGAATTTAGGCTCATACATGAAGCCAGCAAAAGGCGGTGACATCACGGAGTGCATCCATTTACTGTTGCATGACCATGAAACCGTGCAGCTCGCTCTCCCAGGCAACAGTCTGATATGATGGTATTATCTCGGAGCAAGTCCTTGGGAGCGCTCTGCTCCACAGTGACATGGACGATTTCAGAAGGGAGCGAGGAGAGCAGGAGCGTCATGTTCACTTATCTTCCTGGAGATCTGAGATATCCAGCCAGCCGAGGCGAACACAGTTCAGATACAGAAAGCTTTAGGTCGGGTAGATGTTACATTTCAATCTGCCTAAAGTCTCACCGATCCATCGGCTCATTCCAATCATCCAAATCAGTGTGGCCGTCCAACTGAACCGAAACAAGCAACTTCTCCAGGATGGATTCCTTCCTGCTAGAGAGTTTTAGAGTCTGCAGCTCGGCTACGAGTCTCAGCAAGAATCGCATCCAACTTGCGTCTCTGACCCACAGCATGTCAGTCTGAGTGTTCGCTAGTCGGCCCAATCCGTCACTAATTTATCGACATGCCAGGTATCCGCCAACTCCAAACAGAGATCCTGTTGTCATGAATAAACCCAGGATGTTTCCCTCTGGGTGTGTCCTCTGTCCAGGTTTCTCCTCAAGAAAATTTGATCAATTGCGCTGAGAGAGCAGCTGACCAGATCCATTTGTAGATTTGGAGGATGAGCCAAGAAAGGCTTCAAAAGAGCAACAAAAAACAAAGCAAGCGGGAGAAGATGGGTCAGGAGGGACCAGCCTTCTCTGAGAACAGAGAGAGAAAAGCCTCTCTGGCTCTTCTCTAAAAGCATGGACACTTAGACGATGGAGAGACTTATTCCCTGATGGTCGGAAGCAGACTGTGAGTCTTACCTTCCCTCTGCAGACGGATCGAACGTTCTCGACTGGCTGACCGGTCTCCAGCTGAAAGGCTCTGCAGCGCTTCATCTCCTGGTCCCAAAGCTTCACAGCTCCCCCTCTTTGGTCCTGTGAAACAAACACCCGAATGGAGTACTGCTCCTCTGGAGACAGAGCTAGCCTTTCTGAGTAAAGGATCTGGTCTTTACATCCTGCACTGATAAATTCAGAGCCAAAGTGACTAACAGCTGGATCCCAGAGCAATGAGGATGCAGAGAAACTGGACCAGTTTTAGTTTCTTTCTTCTAAAGTATCTGCAGAACATTGATGATAGTCAGGAGTCTTAGCTTTAATGAAACAAGAACATCTCCACAACTGATAGAGACATGTTGTTTTACACATGTAAACCTTCTGACTGTAAACCTTCTTAGTACCCTGACTAACCCCTGACCACAGCTCTGAAGGTGAGTTGAATTCCTTACGGCCTTTCCTTCCCTCCAGTGACGATGAGTCCGTCCCTCAGCGTGGTGTACATGGTGAAGACGGGACCGCTGTGCGCCTTCGCCACTACTCGGACCAGGAAGTGGTCCCTCCAGACGTACACATCTCCGTTTATTGCACCGGTGAACGTCAGATTATTCTAGGAGGAAAACATTCATTTACAATAAAACTAAAACTTGGTAGACATAAATGGACTACATATAACTGGGACTTACAGCACCAAAGGCGACAGACAGCATGGTCTGCATGCGGCCATCCTCCACTGAGCCAATCACACCTTTCTTATACATGAGGGAACCACCGACCAGGGTCCAGAACTTGATGTGTTTGATTCCCACCGACACAAACTGAGTGTCTGAGTCGGGTCTGAACTCGACCACAAAGATCCGCTCAGCGTGACCGCCCTTACTGGTCACCTTGGTGCCTGTCATGGAGGTAAAGGGTCAAATGTCCGCGCTTCAAATGCAGCAAAGCAAAACAGAAAAGGCTTCTACTCTACTCCGACAGATAATGAGCGTGAGACCACTGGTCCTTGACAGCAGAGAGATGCTTCCATGTTTCTAGCTTCATAACTTACCATCTTGCCATCTCCACACCGTGATGGTATGCTCAGGTTCCACCCCCACTGAAAGCAGTAACTTCCCTGTTGCGCTAAAGTTGACATAACCTACGCCTTTGGCATGAGAACACCGTAGGATGGACAGAGTCTGCTTGGTCACTGCATCCCACACATGGATGGATGGAGCAAGGCCTGTGAGGAGACACCAGAATCAGAGAACCAAAGTCAGAGCCTGCAAAACAGTAAATCTAGAGTCACAGAAATTGTGTTGGAGTCAAGGAGCCACAAAATCTAGGAGTCCCAGTAAGATAGAAACTTCCTTGCAGCTCTAACAAATGATCTGTTAGAGAACAGATCATTCTGTACTAATTATCTTCTAATTGTGGAACACGAACAATCAAAGTTCACAGGATATTTACACCAGCAAGTAATGACCCAACCACTAGGAGGTTGAGGTGATCCAGGTTTAAAACAGGAAGAGGAAATGTTCATTCAGATCAGAACCGTCAACAAATAAATCACTCAATTCATCTGACAGAACCCGGTCCAAACGGGGGACAAAGTGAACCAATCAGTCAGTTCTACATGGGGAGCAATCAGGCCACAAGGGCTCCTACTTCCTGTCTGCCACCATCATCCTGATGAAAACACTCAATACAGAACCTGGTTCTGTTCAGGTTCTGTCACTTATCGAGCTCAGACTGATGGTGAAACCAGAACCCTTTGGAAAAATGTTCATCTTTACCAGAACCAGAATCAGGGTATGAACATAACTCAATTCTGATCCTGAGAGAATATCAGAATTATTCATTCCTTTGAAAGAAATTATTTTATTGCTGTCAGAATAAAAACTGGGAACCATTTTTCTTTCAGTCTGGAATCAAAAAGAAAAAACCAGGTGCGTCACTTTTCTGTCTGATGACACCAGAAACAACAAGCGTCCAGATCAGACCTTCCTTCACCTGCAGGTTCTGCAGCGAGTGTTTTCTGAGCCCACATGAGAGCAGCTCTAGTCTAGAACAGAACAGACATGGGTCGGACTCGACCCGGATCCTGACCGCTGGTACTCACCGGACACCTCGGTCTCTACGCACCGACAGCAGACGGCACAGCAGAGCAAAACAGAATCATGTGTGTGAATGAAGATGAGCACTGTGAGGAAGGTAGAGGCAGCCTTACCTGGCAGGTCAGAGATGTCACCTGGTGGCGAGGAGAGGTGGTGACAATGAGGAAGCAGTGGAAAAGAAGGAAAGGTGTGATGGACCAAAAGCAGCCAGTCATGCATGAAAGCAATGTGCAGAGCAGCTAACGACCTGCAGTCTGACTACAACCTCCGACAGGAGGAAACATGGAGCAGCTACCACACACCTGGCTCCCTCTGGTACCCTTACTCTGCTCTGCAGCCTCACTGGACCTGCAGGAAACCCGAGTAGTAGCAGAAACTGGGAGCTTGTCCAAGACAGAATCCCGGACAAGCCCCAGTTTATGTTCAGTTGATTCTCCATTCCTGCAGCTTCAAATGAAGACTGAACCCTTCAATAGATTTCAGATTATTCTTCCGAGAGCCAGCAGGTCCTACACCTTTACAGTTGAGCTTGGTTCACCTGGGAACCTTCACTCCATGGATGACCCTGTGGGACCTACCAATGAGCTTTCCACCAGAATGGACCCGACCTGCAAGAACCTGACCTCAAAGTACTCAACCAATAAGAACCTGACCTCAGAAGTCTGTGCTGAAATGATCTGACCTAAATGAACCCAACCTGATTGGACATGAGCTGAAACCAGTTTGTTAATGACTCTTGAGCTGAGATATTTTACCCGACTGTGACATGAAAGCAGATAACTTCTTTCATAGATTTATTCAGGTGGTGGTGGGGTTTACTGAAAAGGTTCTTTTAGATGTTCTACTTAGCGCTCCTACTTTCTGATGGAACCAGAGAGATCTCACTATGATCATGAACCAGAACCTTCTATGCTATGCTACTGCTACCTGAGAGGCAGGTGAGATCACCTGAAGGTGATGTGAAGTCTCACACTTACCGATCTGTCCAGTGGCGATAATGTTCTGGTACTTTGGGTGCTGGTTGACCGTCAGACAGAGAATGTCGTCTGTGTGTTCCAGGTAGAAACTCTGAGTTCCTGTCAGGACAGGAAGCAGGAAAGGTGACCTCATGAGCAACATTAGCAATGACTGACGGTAACTGACGGTCCTACGCACCGGCAGACAGATTCTGGATGACGACAGCAGCGGCGGTGTGGAAGATGATGTCGGCGCCGTCGTTGAGGTAGTGCAGGTTGTTGCGGCAGTCGAAGCCTCGGTAGCCGAAGACGTGTTCCAGCAGCAGCTCCTAACAGACGCAGACAAGCAGTTAGAGTCGAGGTCAGGACATGTTGGACATTATCGAGCAGATCCCATGTGCCGACCTCCACCGCTTTCCTCTTCTTAGTCACGTTGTCCTTCAGCAGTTTGTCGGGCAGCGGCACGGCCCGGCTCACAGGAGGCCTGAACAGGAAGAGCGGCGTTAATAACAAACTGCACTTGAACTCATCAAGAGGCCTGATGAGGCCTTCAGGTTACCTGTCCTCCAGAGGAAGCTCTCTGTGCTGCAGGTGGGGTTTGGTTCCTGTCATGTTCCTGATGCTTGCTGAGTAGATCTTAGTGACATAGTCCACCACCTTCTCCCGAGCCACATCACTGTCGTACCCTAAAAAACAGAAATACACCAGTTACTGTTTCTCAGACGATTCTGCTCACTCTGGATGAGTGAGCAGACGTTCAGTCCTGGGTGCTGAATGTTGCTGTTTTTCCTTGACCAGAACTTTACACATCTTTGCAGTGGTGAACACGCATCCACAAATCCACTAATGTGCTAATAGAAGAGCTAGTTTTTCATTTGCTTTAGCACTTGGGCTAATTTTGAAATGTGTGACAGCTAAACTCAACTATAAAACTGAAATGATGAGTTAAAGGCCTGTTCCAAAGAATCATTTCCTGAAGCGCAAATTGTGCAGGTAGGTGTGTAATGACAGATACGAGCCTACTGAGGGCGCTATGCCATGATGTGGCACATGTCTTATTGATACATGGTGGGTAAAACATGCTTGAACTTGGATTCACCAAATTACCAAGTTGCTGTAGCACCTAGCATTAGCACAACTAATCTTTGTGATTAGGTCTGCAGGGTCAGCAGAGCTAGCTTTTTTTCTAAAACTCAACTAGATTTGAGTTTTAGAGACATAACTGCGTCTCTAAAACTCAAATGAATCTGAGAGCCCTCCAGCCAGATGTCCACTGTGACCTCTGCTGTTACCTCCGTCCTCCTCAGGGTCGTCGTCAGACTCCTCGCTGTCCACAGCTTTGCTCTCCTTGTGGCCCGGCGGCTCTCTGGACCAGATCATTAGCGCCGTGTCAGCTCCGCCCACAGACAGAAGCACTGCATCATCATTGGACCAGCGCACGTTTGTCACATTCGTGCTGTGACCCACGTACTTCTTAAACTTAGCAAACTGACCCTGGGAGAAGAGACTGAGGAGATGAACAGAGATCCTCCAGGAAAACCAGCTTCGGACTCTGTCTCTGGACTCACCCGGGACGGGAAGCTGAACAGTTTGACGAAGCCAAAGTCATCTCCTGTGGCAAGAAGTTTTTGGTCTCTGGTGAGCGAAGCAGCGTTCACAAAGCTGAATGACGGCCATATTCCTTCACAGGTGGGACCCAAAACAGACGTCCAAGTGGCCCAGTCCATCTTCTCAAACTGGACACAGAAACAGCATTATGACCTCAGGGAACAAATGCCTCTGAGAAAACAGGGAGACCTGCTTTCTGACCTCCGAGACGCTGATGTTTTGTCTGCGTCCTCGTGGAGCCTCAAAGAAGAGCTGATCTTTAGCTCCGGTGTTCACCTGGAGGAGTTTACCTGTAGGGAAAACATTGGAATGAGATGTTAGGTTAGGATCTTGAATAGCAGGGAAATGTCAACATCTGAGGTTAATTAAAACAGGCGAGTCCACCTCTGGAGTCCCAGTCGATGTGGGTGACGAAGCTTCCAGCTCCTTTACAGATGCCAACCCTCTTACTGGTCAGGATATTGTAGATGTCCACAAAGGAATCATGGGATGCCACAGCCAAATACTTTCCTGCATCTGTGAAACACCCCTGACACTTTAGGGACTCAGCTTCAACACCTGTCACCCCTGGGCAGTGAGTTCAGGTACCTAAGGAGAAGCGGATATCTGAGATGAGCTCCCTGCGGTGGTGGAAGGTCACCATGTCCTCCAGGGTGTCAGCGTTCACCACCATGAAGCTGCCGTCATTCAGACCGACTGCCAGAGCTTTACCGTCTGGAGAGAAGGTGCAGCACCGCCCACCTGGCAGGTGACACAGAATACAGGTTAGCCAAGAGAAACAAGCAGAAAACCTGCGCTTACCTGAACAGGTGTCACCTTTCTTCAGCTTACGAACAGCAACCATCCTGTGATTGGTCGACAGCTCCCAGATCCTCAGAGTTTTGTCGTCACTGACAGTGGCACAGACAGGAAGTAGAGGATGGGCCGCCAACCCCCACACATCCCCCTCCATGTGACCCTGAACATAGAAGTACCACAGGGAAGACAACGCAGGTGAGGTACCTGAGAAGAAGTGGATCAGGGAGGAAGGACTCCCTGATCAGCTCGGTTTTCCAGTGAAGGACAGAAGCAGGAAAGAAGTGTTGGAGATGTCTTCAGGGCTGCTGGAGGCCTGCATGCCTCCCCAGGTGAGCCTGGTGGCTGCTACAGGTCAAACAACTCTCCTTCCAACAGCATGTAGCATCTCACCAGGACTAGGCCTGGAATTCTGATCGATTCTGCTGGACAGACCAGAGTCTTTTTGTCTCACCTGAACCAGCAGCGTCATCAGCCCGCTCTTGTCTATCTCCAGGATTTCCCCGTTCTTGGTCCCAAGCAGGATGTGACCGTGTCCCAGAGTGATGGCTCTGATGGACGGGTTGTCCTCCAGCAGCAGACCTGCTCAGAAGGAAGACATCGTCAGTCCAACAGCACAATCCTCAGGAGGGGAAAGTGACGCCAGAGAGGACACCTTTGGAGGACGGGGACAGGGCTGCCCTTTTTATGGCGTAGGTTTTCAAACATCGCTCAAACATGTCGTCCCACAGCTCCACAATGCCGTCCTTTCCTCCGGTCACAAAACCCTGACAGTGAATGCAACACAAGACGACTTTATTTATAGGTCCTTTCAAACAGTAAAACAATCCGAAGGGCTCTATGGGACATTAGACACATTTTGAACAAAAACCTTCGTCTATATAAAGCTTTGCATCAAACAAGAAGACGGTAAAATACAGAGAGAAAAACCATGAAAGAAACAAACGGTAGTCATTGATAGGTTTTGATCATCTCCAGTTTTCAGGCAGTTGGTTCCAGATCTGAGGAAAAGAGAAGCTCAACGCTTCTCACCAGATTCTGGTTCTGATAACACTGAGGAAATGAGTCGCTGAAGACCTGGGAGGCAGGGAGGAATGGATGGATGGATGGATGATGGATGGATGGATGGATGGATGGATGATGATGGATGGATGGATGGATGGATGGATGATGGATGGATGATGATGGATGATGGATGATGGATGGATGGATGGATGGATGGATGGATGGATGATGGATGGATGGATGGATGGATGATGGATGGATGGATGATGGATGGATGGATGGATGATGGATGGATGGATGGATGGATGGATGATGGATGGATGGATGGATGATGGATGGATGGATGGATGATGGATGGATGATGGATGGATGATGGATGGATGGATGGATGGATGGATGGATGGATGGATGATGGATGGATGATGGATGGATGGATGATGGATGATGGATGGATGGATGGATGATGGATGGATGGATGATGGATGGATGATGGATGGATGGATGGATGGATGGATGGATGGATGGATGGATGGATGGATGATGGATGGATGATGGATGGATGGATGGAGGATGGATGATGGATGGATGGATGGATGGATGGATGGATGATGGATGGATGGATGGATGATGGATGGATGGATATGGATGGATGATGGATGGATGGATGGATGGATGGATGGATGGATGGAT